TGATCCAGATGTTTTTTAGTCCATCTGTATCCAGCTGAGGGCATACCTCCTGCAGTCTGATTAACATGGCCTGGCAGCGCTCCACAAACACTCTGCTACCCCTAATCAAGGCACCTTCACTACACACAAAGATCAGACTCACAGACTGAGTTCATTAATGTAGAGATTCACTAAATGTTACTATTATGCTTTACTCCGGACAGTAACTGGGCTTGATATCGCCTCAAAGACCTCTTATGTGTCCAGATTATTACAGTAGTGTATGTGTTGATACCTGCTACATCTTTGCAGCAATGTCCAATTTGCATACTGTACAGTAATTGTGTAAGTGGCAACAAGTCTTCCCAGCAGACAGCTTTTAAATTTAAAATAGGTAGTAATGTTTTCGAGGTAGAGCTTAATGAGGTCTGTTTGCATACATGTTTATTTACAAAATGGCTGTTAATCAACTGCCAAAACAGTGCACTATAAAGAGTAGCATGTGGTATTATGTTTACTTTATGGTATTTGTATATACAGTAGTGTGGAACTGGAACATGCTGTGTCATTCCAGTGACTGATACACAAACCCTAAACCTAAGTGACTCTATATTTATGAACTTTAGACAGCATTGAGAAAATGTATTTAAAGACATACTTATATACTGTATGTATAACTTCACCTAATAAGAACTTTTAGGATTTTAGGATGTGTTTTACTGTGTTTCTAATGACCTATATTCATATGATAAGCTGACTTGGGCTGTCAGTACTGCACATAAATTTAGTGCGACCTAAGAAGGATCGTTCTAGCAAATCTAGGAAGCTCCCGGAAAACATACTCACTGCACAACCATGTAGTAGTCTTGCAGAAACTCTGCCCACTGCCGTTCCTCCACGGAGGGGGATGTTTCTACAGTCACATCAATGTCACTGTGCTCTAAAACACTGAGAAACTCTTGACACACATTTAAAGCCAGATCGATCATTCCTGGACCAACAAATCGACGCTCCGAGATATCCAGCTCTGCAGAGAGATACAAGATTTGTATGAAAGAATTTGTTACATTCTCCCTGACCCGCACTTTTTTTCATGTCTGGGTCACAATTTTCAAAGGTGCATTTTATATTCATTTTGCATGTATTACCATCAGAGACACCATTTGTGGTATTTTGTTGTTCGCCCTCTGCCCCTTTTCTCCTCCATCTACTTGTCTCAACCACATGCTGCAGCAGGCTGGTGCATGCTGTCCTCCTGAAATCCTCTTCATTGTCATATAAAAAAAACAAGAGGACAAGAGAAAAGGCATGTAGTTTTGTTTAAGATGATAATATATCACTAATAAAACTAAAACAGCGGCTGTGACTGTTCACTTACAACCCCCTTTTACACTTATAACCTAATAGATCTCATATCCACATACGATTTACACCCAGACACATCACTGCACCTTTGATTGAGCATGATTTTAGCTATGTGTTATTAGAGCCATATAGCAGACCTATGAATCCATGCTTTTCATCCTCTGCTCCAAGCCTGTAGCATCTAGGGAAGAAGGTGTCAGGATCTGCTGCATCAAACCACTGAAGGTTACGCAGGTTCACACAGAGCCCCACCTGAAAGAAACAGAATAGGAGATAGAGAGTACTAGCTGACCTATGATCAAAGTTGAGCAACTTGCATTTATTCTAGTCAATCAATAGAAACTCTTTAGAGATGAGACCTTGGTAGTAAACGTTCCCGAATTTGCATAGTGATTGGTCATTTGGTCATGCCGTAAGGAGCGGCAGTCTATGTAATCCCGGCGTGTTGTCCAGTAGAAATATGTAGTTTCATTTCGAGCCAGACGAGACTAGAAAAAGTCGAGGAAAAGTTAACGAGCTGACTGAGCTAGAATGCACAGCATGATAAATAAAAGACCCATGGAAATGGTTTAATTTGAGAATAACAATAATTGCACATTCAGCTGCTTTCAGAACGTCTGTCAGTGGCATGTTGGTTAACATGAACTGTTATCTTACCATGAGGGCATACATGTCATCATCGTTCTCCTCTTTCTCGCCGCCATCCACTCTGTCTGTGAAGAGATAAGTAAAGAGGTGGGCGTGTGTGTGTGTGTGTGTGTGTGTGTGTGTGTGTGTGTGTGTGCATGTGGGCTTTCATGTGTAGAGGGGTGTGTTAAAAGGGTAGGGGTCTGTGGTAGAGGTTGGTGTCTGTAATGTGGTACACAAAGGATCATTTATCAGGTGTCCATCTATCCATCTGAACTAGTGTTCTAATTACATATACGTTAACCCCTCTTGCACTTTTAGCTTAGACAGTTAAGGGAAAATATTGTGCACAGGTTCTACAAACCCATTATTTTCCCAGTATGTCAAACACTTATATAAAGCTGTTTTTCTTCCCATAGGCTTTGAGACTAATGAGATTTCAGTTTGTTTAATGGCAAAGACACAACAGCTTGTTTTCTAAAATGTCTGATTTGGCAGCTCTCTTAAAACCCATTGTCTCACCAGTAAAATCAGCACCGCCATCACCATCATCACCACCTTCCTCCTCATCTCCGTGGCAATGAGGTGCTCTCTGGGCAGGATAGGGCAAACGGCGTTCCACCCACCCTCTGGCCCATAAGGCAGCGCGGATCACAGGATAGGGTCCCTGCACTGAAAACACTTTCCTCAACTGAGAATGAGCGGAAGAGAGAGAGAGAAAGAGTCCAACAGGACACATATCACATAAGTGGATAGTGTGGTAATATACAGAGGTGTGACACTGAAGTCTGGCTGTTATATATAATCACCTTCACTGCTTTCTCCACCATCATTTTAGCTGTTTTGAGCCTGTCTGGCTTGATCGCTGGCAGGCTTGGCACAATGCGACGTAACCTCCCCTCCACTGGAGCCACTGCGGACTGTAACACTGAGACAAATTGCTTGGTCAAATTTCAATATAAAGTAACCGTATGCTCATGCATGTGGGTGTATTTGTATGTAAATGTCTACTCACTTACCTGGCATTTGCTGCATGTTATTATTATATAGTTTCCCCTTCAGATGATAACAACATACAGTGGTCAGTCCTGTGGGAGCGGAAATATGTTAAACAACATTATTTTTCATCATATCATCATATGATAGGATATAAAATCATAGATAGATGGTCTCCTCTGGTATCCCACATGGCATACACTTTGTCTCTGTAGCTACTGAAGAACGTAAACTGGGTCAAGCAGGCATCTAAATCTGGACAGAGCTGACTGAGGCTGTCATAGCTTCACATTGACATAACGTTACTCATGCGCACACGGGCAGACATGCAGTACATACAGTACATAGGCATGCACAAAAACGGAAATAGCCTGTATATTTTGGAAACAGATCTACATTCTCTCTCTTCAACTCTCTGCCATATATGACAGCAATTAGACATGCGCACACACTGCTCCTAAAATAGGCTACATCAACAAAAACAGAAGCGATTTTAAGTTGAACAGTAAGATACAAACCTAATGTTGTCACCTCTCCAGTGACTCGACCACTGTGTCCATAGACTCAGTCCTGCTTACTTCATGCTCCCGTTCCCATAACAACAGTGCATGCTCCCACACAATGTTTATAGTTGCCATAACAACCGTACCCAGGAGAAACAGGATGCCATGCAGGTCGATGAAAATCTAACACCTTTAGCCATGCGTTGAAGAAAGAGGATCATTTATCCTTATCAGTTTCCGTGTCGCTTACACGTGTAGGCAACATGCACAAGAACCATTAAAACAGCAACGATACGTCGTTTGTATGCACGTATCTCATTGCAGTGACTCAGTGCTCACTAATGGGGACCAATTGGCTGAGGAGGGTCAACTGGCTGAGCTAAATCCAATCAAGTGTTTGACAATCTGGCAGATGCACATAGTCTCATATTTGTCTTTATTGAAAGAGTTCATGCTGAGGCCAGTGTGGAGGCAAAACACAAAGGGATTTGTTGATGCTCAGTTTGATCTTTGTTGCTTTCTCATTATTAATATAGGCGATCATTTGCATGGTTACAAAAAAAACTGCCTGCCTTGCATCTTCACTATAATCTGACTATCTGTTAGACATGTGCACGCGAGGTTTATGAGATGTACACGGATTATTACAAACACAGTGTGTCTGCTTTGCGCAATGCTTTGCCTTCCCACAAGGTGGCATCCAAGGTTTTCTACAGGTTTTCTAGTATGTTCTACTACTGTGTGATACAGGATCAGAGAGACATTATGGATCTGTCAGAGCCATCCTGTGTTCACTGCGCACTTTTGCACTAATGTTTTATTACTTTATATCGTCTTTCATGTCTCAACCCTGCAATTATTATGTTATTATTATTATTATTATACTCCACAAACATTTCAAAGGTACTTTTTAATGTTACTCTTTGCTGTAGTTACTAGTTACTTTACATGTTTTCATACACAACTCATTACATCTTATAAAATGTGATGCATTGTTGCAGACAGTAGAATATTTACTCAATCTGCTGCATAATATAATGTTTATATTATTACTTAATATAAGGCTCCAAGTACTTCTTCTTCCACCACTTCTTCTTCTTTACACCAAAGTAAGTAAGTAAGTTTTCTCTGATTTGTGACATTTCTCAGCATATTTTCAGTTGTTCTAACAGCTGCACTATTATAGTACGTTAGAGTACAGTCTGGACCTGCTCTGAAAAGTGCCCAGAGATAACGTATGTTATGATATGTTATGTTTGGCGCTATACAGATAAAATTGGATTGAACTGTTAAGTGCAATATGTTAAGTGGCCAATGAATGGACCATCTGCTGTGCACAGTGGTCACAGTCCAGCACATCTTAGCCGCTGATGTTTAGCACATCTTAGTAGCTACCAAAGTGGACATTGTATAGAGTGACGTCGTTCTATAAGCCCATAATAGTCTTGGCTTTATTGTGTTGGGTAGCAGCAGTACGCCGCAGCCCGCTGAGTGCCTCTGCACTCTGATTGGCTGAGGCAGCAGTGATGCTCGCTACATCCTGCTCCCACAGCCAGGGCAGGAGGGAAGAGAGCTGGAAGCGCGGCCGGAAGATCAACACGAAGAGGGGGGGGCAAAATTATCATTTTCACCGTTTTACTCAACTGGAAGAGATGTTTCCACTCAACATGTCTGCAGAAACAGAAGAAGCTGCTGTTTCCAACTCGTGACCGCTTCTTCCAAACGTCCTAAGAAAGCGTCGATCGGCCCCTGAGAAAGTCCCACCTTTACACTCCGTCAACACTTAGCAGGTTAACCCAAAAGGCCAATGAGCATGCCTGTCAACGATCCCGAGAGCATACTGAGCTACCAGGTAAAGTGCCCTTTTGAATGTCTAATTGCATGGCGCGTTGCTTTGACACTTCGGATGGCACAGAGCGAGCTGGACACAAACTCCTACAACTGTGTCCCTCAGTTTACAATTCATAACTTGCTGCTGGAATGATGGACTAAGTCATATTTTACAAACTATTTAATGACAGAAATGATCACACCTGTTCTTTTTGCCACTGTTGCATTTCCACCTACACCTTATCCTGCTGATGTTTTAAATTTAGGTAGGCCTATCTGGGGTTTTTAATTTGTTGTGGTTGTTTAAGCGGACTCAATAAATGTTATTCCCAGCATGTTAAATTGTGTCAGGCTTCTCACCCTGCGGGATGATGCTGTATGCGGAGGATATTGTTGATATTGTCATTCTGAGGTGCTGCACGTGCAGCAGCCTAATTCCGGAGAGTCACATTGCAATGCACTGAGAAATCTTTGTTATTTCGACTGTTCCTCGAGCACACATAAATGTGTTGTGGAAAAGTGACGGCCACATTAATGTGATACTGCAGCTGAGTGTTGATTAGACAGGGTATCGGTAAATTTAAAACAGAGCGCTCATTAAAATGCCACCTGCTCGTCCTGGAGTCACATGTGTGTGAGGAATAACAGGAATGGGGCAGTTAACTGCATTTTCAGATGCTTAGGAGGCGTGTTATTTTCTCAGTTACCCTCAAATGACCTTGACGCCATCCTTACACCGTGCACCATACAGTGCTGAGTGTCTGCTTAGCCTACATGATCGTCATTAGCCAATCCTGGCGGCAGTAGGAGGACAGCCATGTGGTCAATTGAGGTTTGAAGGTGGAAATGGCATAATCCTTGATGTTCTGATCATGTGGGATCCATTACCAGATCCTCAGTCAGCCAATGAGACAGAGGCAAACCCATAAGGACAAATGGATTATAGAGCACAGCAGTGCTCAGGGATGTTTATTCAAGCTGGCATGCATTAGGCTAATGTTTGTATAGATTGATTATAACTACCATGGCATGCAGTATCACAGCTTAAAAGACTTAATGTTGCCTACTGCAACAGAGTCATATCATCATGGTGATTTATAATAACATCCTGTCTGAGGGAAGGAGACGGACTGAGAAGGACCAGAGGTGAGCTGGGAAGTCTCTGATATGATTAGACAGCTTTCAGACAGGGAGGGAAAATTGCCTGCAAGCCTCACTCTTCCATGCCAGTTTGATGTCACGACAAAAAACCTGTAAGTTTGTCTCTCCACCATTGTGGTGGCAGTCTAGTCGGTCAGCATGGACTGGGATCTTTGCCACATCCCCCACATGAAACCTGTTGAATGTTTGCCAAAGCACTATTGAGGTGTCTCAAGTAACGGGAAAGGTAAAAAGATAAAACGGCAATATGAATATGTTATGCCTATGAGTAAACTACAAGTAAAAGTTCTCTGTTCAAAACTGTACTTATGAAGGACACCTATCCACATTGTTAAATTACTGGTGTGTTCATTTGTAAGCAGCACTTTGCAGCATTAATGTTGTAGGTGATACAAGTGGCCCTAAGCTCACGTAAAAACAACATATGGGCAAAATAGGGCAGAAAAATCCTAAAGCTCAAGGTGTCTTCTAAGGTGGTGCCTTGATGATTGCTGGTTACACAGTCAGTGCCTTACAATAATCATAATGTGGTTCCTTAAAAAAACTGAAAACCTGAAAAACATCCAATGCCATACTGTAGCTTCTTAACTGCCAAGGTGACGGTCAATAATATGCTTTTGATGTAATTATTCTGTAAATGTTTAATAATGATCACTGAATCACTGAGGCCTCTTACAATTTCATTATGAGACTATCAATGTATTCTCTGTGGTGCAGGTACACAGCTCCATGCAGAACAGCCTCTTCATTTTCACTGCGTGTGGAGAACTTTTCAGTGCCATTTATGTACAGCGTATACCTGCACCACAGAGAATACTGTATTGATAGAACCTACTTCTGCAGTTACCCTCTGCATATTTACAACCATACAGAGATGCTTGGAAATCAATAAGATCTCGTAAAAGAGAGACATGATCACATACCATACTAGAGTGCAATGGCATACATGTAAATGCTCCGTACTTGTATAGCGCCTTTCTAGTCTTTGACCACTCAAAGCGCTTTTACACTACATCTGCATTCACCAGTCATACACATTCATACACTGAGCCTAAGTGCTCGGGGCACACAATTGGGGTTCAGTATCTTGCCCAAGGACACTTCGACACGCAACCAGGGGGAGCCAGGGATCGAACCGCCGACCTTCCGATTAACGGCCAACCCGCTCTACCTCCTGAGCACCGAGTGCAATGGCATACATACATAAACTATACTATAACTGAGCCAAGCTAAACTTACGTGATGAGCCATCTATATGTAGTTGGCACATAACTACAGATGTGAGGGTCATTACATGTTTTCAAAAATGTGATGTGAAAAAAATTGTAAATATGAGCAACAGCGTCAAAATACTACAGCTTTAGGTGGCGTCATTACCTGCCCTGATTGGGTAAACCAGTGACTCTAGTTCCAGTTTTTAATAATTCATGGCACTCCTCATCATACATTTATCTCAGCTTTAAGTCCCCAACACAAGACTATAGTTCCCACTTTCAGTCCTTTTACAGTAGCTATTAGGCATCCCTCCAGGCTTTCATTTTAATCACTTTGAGTCCATTTAGTGAGAGTCAGCCACAGTCGCCTATCTGACTAGTGAATGTGTTTAAAGAGCAACACTGCAGTTTTGTACAAATCTCTGAGGGAAAAGTAGTTTATTCTTTAGTCAGAGTTGTCAACTTTGAACACATTTCTAAAGATTGCAAATCATGTTTGCGTTATGACTATTAAAGTTACACGACATGGCCAAAGCCACCATTTAATGGGATTCATTTAGTTTGAAAGACACACTTAGAGTGAGAGATCCACAGTGGTTTAAACTCATCACCACTGGTCAGTAGAACTGATATGAGTGGAAATAAAGTCTTGCTGTTACATTAGTACTTTCAGATATGATATGACCAGATGACTGAGAATCATACAGACACATTGCAAGATAAAGCTCCAAAATCTGCACTTCTTACTGTCTTTCACCCACAAAAACAAACTACAGCTGCAGAAATCTTTCTGAAAAGAAAACAATTACAGAGCGAGGGCTGTGGAGAGGCAGAATTGTATTAGTGGCATTGAATAAGGTGTGTATGACTCATGCCGCCCGTGGGCTGAAGCAGTCAAAACAGCCGCCCCTCTCATCCTATTTCCTCCAGCTCCTGTCTCACTTTTTCACCATTACCTCTTCCTTTCAACCATTCATGTAAACCCCTACTCTGAGTGAAGCACTGTCTCTACAGCAGACTGGCGTTGATGCAATGTTATGAAGGGGCTGTGGTAGCCTGCGGCTGTGGCGCCCTGGCTCTCATACACAAAGCTTAGTCTGGAAGTGACAGGCCCAGTTGTCTGAGTCAGGATCTGTGTCCCTGCTGTCAGTTCAGGGTGCTTCTGCGAGGAGAGGAGAGAGGGGTCAGCTTTGAAAGAGGAGGGGAGGTGATGTCGGCGTGGACAGATAAAAATAGGATGCAATCGAGAGGAGTTGTGGAAATTGTTGGAAGAGTAATGTTCAACAAGTGTTTTGTTAGATGGAAACAGGTCATGGGAACGGTCAGTTGATTCAGTAGTGACAAACATCTCAAAAGGCTCAAAAGCCCACACTGTGCTGCTGAATCATGGATGCACTTTTATGGATCTACCATTAACAGGCTTGCAGTGCTGTTCTCCTGCCTGCTGATGTAGCTATTATATTCATATGGAGTGAAACTTTCCCTTGATAAACTTGCTCTTGATGTGTGCTCACATAAATATCTTTTTTGCTTCTTTCTGTTGCTTTCTAGCCAGTGTCTGTGATTTGTCATGTCAGCCATCCCTCTCTGGATTTCAAGCCTCTTAAATAGTAACCAGCAGGCCTTTGGTCCTCTGAAGTTGACTCCACTCAGAGTCCCCGACGGAGTGAAAAGGCATTTTGACACAGCACATTGATTGCCACACTCAGTCAGGAGACCCGGATCAAAATCATTGCTGCTCTATTTGTTCAGGGCGAAGACCAGTTCAATGTGTTTCACTGCAGTGCCCATTGACAAAACCTTTTGATTTTGCCTTGTTGTTCCCAAAAAAACCCTAGACATTTTGAATTACAAGAATTACAGAACAGCTCTAACCGGTCACTGACAACACAGCCTGAACGGGATTTCCTGGGTAGCAAAGTTATGAACTCAGCACGAGGGAAGAGAAAATTAAACTTTTAATGCAGGAAAATGTTTTTTTTTGTGGTCATGAAGCAGCAGTTAGAGAATGTATGATGTTTTCTCTGCTTTATATGCTATTGTAGATTGTCAGGTAATTTCTTAACTTACAGTTTACTCATCAAAACCAATATACAAATCTGTGTGTGTTCATGTCTGCAGTCACTTTCTGCACCAATGGGAGTTTTATCAGCATCATAAGTAGGACACTGTGTGCGACTGCACTGTTCTATTCTGCTCTGGGAATCTAACATCTTTCTGGGACAATCTGCCCTGCCAGAAAATACCATTTGTATTTGTATAGTTATCACATGTAGGCGAGTGATAGCTTCTCTCTATTTTTGGCTTTTTCGCGCTGAGACAGTAGATTAGGGTGCCTAAAGTCTTCATCAAGTGAGGTGGGCCAAAAAATAAACAAATACATTGAATAGAAGGATTAAGCTGTCATTTTGAAACCCGTTTGAAGACCGTCCTTTCGATAGTTTTGAATAGAAATGGTTGAAGTGAAACTGGTCCATAGTTCTCAACTTGACCAGGGTAGAGGCAGGGCTTTTTGATTAACCCGGGACCTTTTGAAAGTGGTTGGGAAAGTTCCCAAAATCAGAGAAGTATTTATCACCAAGAGTGATTGCTGGCACCACAGTCTGGCCTGGAGGAGATTGGTAGGAATTTTTATACGAAATGAGTG